AGCTTGCCCAGATTCAGACCGGGGACGTGGTACATTCTCAGACGTTTCGCCATTCTCAGCACAACACTACAAGTTGTCATGGAGACAAGTGAAGCCGATCCTTTGATCACTTGTTTTGCAGACAATTGGTATGCCCTCTTCGACTTCACACTTCAGATGAGTAGAGCTGACGGTCCCATTGAATGCCACATGGCCTTATTTCTCAAAAAAGTATTCTTATCCAGGCTGAGCTGTAGGTCCTATCAACACCAAAAGCGGGACTCGAACCATGACAGTGTGGCGTGCAATCTCGACACGTGCGCCATTACGTCAGACTGCCATGAGTGCTCTTGGCCTACAGGCCAATTGTGCATTTCAAAGAGGGTCAGGCATTTTCCAATATCACACTCTTTGGTGCGAATTTCAATAAAACAAACTTATATTTGCCATAGCATTAGATGATATTACTTAGTTTTCGCTGGAAGCAAGTTTTCGAGACTATCAATAAATAAGATATACGGAGCGGTGTTGATAAGACTTTTGCAAAGTCGAAACTGAAGTCCAAGGACATGTGAAATTCGGTGGAAACCTCATGTTTCTCATATGATTGTGGAAAAATGCAACCATTAGTCCTTCATCACTTTAAACGAAATAGGGTGAGCACGGCTCATTTATATGATTTATTGTTAACATATCGTTCTCGGCACTCAGTAATTCTTGAATAGCAGCTTAGTTAACCTAGGCTGCTCAGGTGATTCAAGGACGAGTAGTTGAGATTTCCCACAATCAGGTGAGTAGGTCTGACTACTTATATAGAAAATAAGTAACCGATGTTTGCTTAAGCTACAATCCCAAAATGAAAAAAACGTGAGTTGCAAAGAGCCTAGCTTGCCTTGAACGTCCCGTCTGTTCAGTGATCACATGAAATGTATGATCGTGTAATGAAGACTACTCATTTAATTGTAGAAAAAGCTAATTTTCAGTCGCTAAGTCTCTTTAATTGGCCTCAACTGGCTGGGCTCTTTTGAGTTCAGTCTGCTTACTCTCCATTTCGTTGGAAGTGGTAATTTGAAGATATTCGTAAATCGGCTTCATTCGAAGCTGAAGGAGAATAGATACGAAGAAGACAGATACATTGTTAGAGGGACCTTCATTTCGAATGAAAGTGCATGAAGAAGAGATTCGTTGTTCGATCTAACCAGATGAGGACGGATGAAACGAATATCTTCTTCATGCACTTTCATTCGAAACGAACGTCCCGCTAACAATGAAGGAGATTGTGATTGTAGCTCGGGGCACAGTCTGGCAAAAATGTACGAATCCCTCACCAAACAAAACTGAATGCTACACTAAATTAATGCTATTACTGGAATCTACGAAACCCGATTTTTTTCAAAGTTTATATTTGCTTTGACTAGTTCCATTTTAGTACTACTTATGCAGCCTTATCAGTAGTTTGGTATGGAAAGAATGCCATCCAACAAAAGCCTGGTTTAAAGGTTGGAAAATTGGCCTTATGATAAAGAGATGGTTGAGGTTTAGGGTTTTCCCGAAGGTACAACCTAGAAGTCGCCTCGAAACGGGTGTAATGTGTGTTTGTGCTCACCTTTTC